ACCAAAGAAGGAAAACCCGGTAATTCCTGGAATCTCTACATGAGGTCACTAATGAGTCCAATAGAACTGCTTCATTTTTTCAATAACACAACTCAATAACTTGTAAATCAAATTTCTTCAGCTTTGTAATATTTTTTTTTAAAAGTCAGGCAGTAAAAAACCTCTAAGACATTTACGTCATCGGAGCAAGAAATCCACAGGGGGGTAATCTTTGAAAAGATTTTTATTTTCTAATCTAACTGCCAATCTACAAACCAGTAAATCAAACAGGAAAAAAAATTAGCCCCTTCCTCACACTTCAGAAATAAGATTGACAGTGAGTGAGAAATTCCTCCTATTTCTTAGTTGCCCCCTTCGGGTCATGTTTATATTGTCTTTGCTACGTTTGCCTGCTGTTAAATCACCACCACATGTTCTCTCTACTTACTCTGTAAACACACCAGGCTCGTTTAATTCAATGTTTCTATAAAAACTGGTGTACTCCTTATCTGAAGAGATACACTGAAGAATGAATGGTAAATTCTAAGGGAGAGATTGAATCTGTGCCTTAATCTGTAGAAGGGGGAGTTATTTTTTGTGTTGGTTCACTTGGAAGGAAGTTAGGGAAGAGATTTGTTGATATTGGAATGTTACAGGAAGGAAGTACTCCGGAAAGTGACGATGTTTTTCTTCGGTCGAGTGTCGCGATGGAGACACCAGACAAGGATCAGGATAGGTCACTACTGGAAGAAATCGTAAAATATAATGTGGAGAAATCAGAGAGGCTAGAAAGGTCATGGGGTCGGAGAGCTCTCTCCTTCAAACTGCCCCGGTCATGGAGGACGACGAGTCATAAATCACCAAGGTAACATGGGGCCTCGCAGACTATGTCAGGAATGGCAGGGTAGAGTAAAAAAATATTTACACCAAATACCAGGACAAATTGAGTTGTTTTTTAAACTGATTTTTTGCTCTTTTCTGTTTTTGAAAATATGATGTAATAATTTAATTCATCCACCATATGATAATGTGATGGACAGAAAGTCTGAGGTATCATTTTATTTCCCTTCCTAAAACTCTCTCTCTCTTTTCTGAGAAAATTTATCATGAGAAATAAGGCTAATTTGTTTTTTATTCAAGTTTTGGGTGTAAGAACAAATTGGGTCAGAGTATCAAGTCATTATAACTTGCTCTCAGTGGTTTTTACCCTTTGGTCAAATGAATAATAATTCACACATCCTTAATGTGTACCGAAAAATATGTTAAGTGTGACAAGCCGTAAAAAAATGTATATTCTAGCTACTACAATCCGTGTACTTTAAATTGTAATTTATAATGATTCAAGACATTTTTAAAGGTAAATATTCATCCCTTTTCAGTGCAGTATAATTAAAATTGCAAAGAAGTGAATTGAAGAGAAAGATCTTTAATTTTTCAATTTTGTACCCCCTCTTTTTTTTTTTTAAATTTGTTTGTTTAGTTGGTGGGTTTTTTTCTTTAATGATTGTCAAAAAGGAAAAAATGTACCAGCTAGTTAAATAAAGAAGTAAATATGAAAGTTTTTTTTAATTGTGGTTTGAAGAGACAAAAACTATCTATTATAAACCTTTGTAAAGTTCACTTGGCCAATTAGTACATTTGGTTTATCAAGTTAATAATCTTCTGTTAATTGTGACCAGGACATTATTAGTTATCCAGGTTCAATCAAGGGTGTACGGAGATTTACCCCGGGTTTTATTCAATACACCCTGAGGCCGAAGGCCGAAGGGTGTATGGAATACAACCCGGGGTAAATCCCCGTACACCCTTGATTGGACCTGGATAACGAATTTATTTCCTTTGTGCCTATAAAAATGCTTTGTAAACTTCCAGAGTTTGTCTCAATCTATCGATTAGAAAACTACATACTACAATGCATCGTGACGTCATGTTATTTGGTTTTTATCAGAGTTATGTCCAAGACACGATGTAGTTACGATATCGACACATTACTTTTTTTTTATATATAGTTTACTATAATAGTTCTATATTCTCAAGTGTTTATTGCAATACTTTTTGTTTTAAGACTATTTCCTTACTGTTAATATCTTCGATATCGTGCTGATATCGAATCAAGGTTGCTCTAGGAATTGTGATTTCCATCCTTAATATGGTGTTTTAACAACTGTTACTTAAAAAATTCTTTATAAATCTTTCCCTGGTGTATCGATATCGTCGATATCGACGATATCGCTTCGATATCGAATCATGTTTGCTCAGCTCTTGGTAAATACCTTCCCTGTTTCTTTGAATGTGTTTATGTTTAAATACTTTACTTTTACGAAGATTTTACCTGCCATCGATATCGTCGATATCGACGATATCGTATCGATATCGAATCATGATTGTTAAGAGCATATTACTTTACCAATCTTCATCCTAATACAAAAACTTTATTTTTACATCACTTCTGTGTTTAAAAAATTTACCTTACTGTCGATATCGTCGATATCGTGTCGATATCGAATCATCATTGTTAAAACACTTTCAAGAATTTTCACACTGATCCAACATCTTACTCTTAATCTAATCTAAAACAATAACAACCCTAAAATTTTCTTTATCTTACTAATTTATTTTTATATTCAATAAGTAATCAATTTGGACTTCACTTGTGACTTTCTAAAATTATGTTATACCTCAATGTGAAAATAAATTGTGCAAATAGGATCGATATCGATACGATATCATCATTATATTGTCGATATCGACGACATCGACATAATATAGAGTCTCAAATACAGCACCAGGTATTTCCAATTAATAGTGCTGATTACGATCGATATCAATACGATATCGACATAATATTGTCGATATCGTCGATATCGACATCGGATTTGTTCTTGGACATGTATGTTTTATCATAGTGAATGTATGCATTGTGACGTCACGTTTTATTTACACCCGGCTCAAGTCGGGTGCACGGATATTTACACCCGACTCTGTAACCAATCAAAGCTCGTGTTACAAGCTAGATAGGAAATAATAAGATGGATTCCAACCTGTTTGACTGGCTGTCTGTCTGTCTGTCTGTTTTTCTGCTTGTCTTGATGACCAAATAACATCAAAATAAGGTCTTATCTGTTAGCTAGGGACATCTCAGTTATTATGCCCCAATCTCTATCAGTTTGTCTGTCTGTCCAGCAAGTTGTGTGTCTTTTATCCCAGAGCCTTGGCGATCAAACCACAAAATCATGGGACATTCTTTATCTCTCTATTAGTCTAGCTGTTTGTCTGTCTGTCCAGAGACATTTCAATTATGCCTATCTTTATCTATCTGTATATCCAGGGACATCTTGATTATTTATCACCAATCTCTTTACCAGTCTGTCTGTCTGTCTGTCTGTCTTAAATAACCTGGGAATTGACCTCATTAGGATATCAGTATAGGAGTATTTTGCAGTTGCACAAATCTGATAACACATGTTCTGAATGTTTCCATTACTTATCTAAGGTTTGTTCTGTGAGGATAAAAGCCAGATTTTTACCTCCGTTGGTACTAATGGAGTTAAAACTCTTCATCATTGATGGGTAAAATATTTGGCAGAGACCATTATATGAGAGAATGGCATGTTACCTATGGTATATTTATAAGCAATGGAGAGGAAAAGTGGTAAACATTGAGACAAACCAGAGCTCTACCTTGATTGTAGTGGGTTTGAAGCTAAAAACTTCTGGCACAGACATTGGTAAAACTCACCAAAATAAATACAAGGAAAATAGATTTTCTGGAGAGCTTGTTGTTTGTAAAACTCTTGACCTGAAGCAATAGTTAATTTGCTTTTTTTGTTTGCTAAGTCTTGTGAATTGGTTAATGTGGAAATCTTCAGTAATTGTTTCCATGAAAAATTGCTCATTTTCATTCCTGCACAAGGAAAGAGTTAGAAAGTTTAATATTCAGATATTGAAATATGAAAGTCAACATGGTGACAATTGGTCAATTCAATGAGTGCTCAATTTTTTAACTTTCTTGTTGATGAGTTATTTTTAACAAAAAGAAAATTTCTGTAATGATAATAATGTCATATTTTTGGTACACCTACGATTTTGCATTTTGTTCTGTTTCCATCCACCTTGCGTAATCATTCTATGGTTTATGGCATGTATCCTGTAGTTTATTACGGTGTCTACAAGAAAAAAAAGAAAAAAAATGCATCACCTGCATAAGCGGGTTATATAATTTTTTCTGCAATAGTTGCAACGTTAGTCGCATTAATTCCCAATCTATCAAAGAAAGACATTTTATTGTTTTATATATTTATAACTGTGCAAATAATCCTCTTTAGAAGTATTATTTAAGTGATTATGCCCCTTTTCAAAGAAGGGAGGACATATTGCTTTGCTGCTGTTGGTCGATCTGTCTGTCGGTCCACCTTCAGTTTCCATTCATTTTCTTTACAGTAATTGGACATATTGAAATGAAATTTAGCATACAGATTTATCATAAAAATATCTAGGTCAAGTTTTATGTATGGTATGATCAAGCCATTTTTAGCAGAGTTATGCCCCTTGGATTGTATTTTTTGACGTTTACATCATTGATTGTACATTTCAATGAAGACCTCCAGTCAAGAAATCTGTAGAGGTTTACTGACTGATAAACAACAATTGTTTTCTTATGAAATAAAGGGGAAAATATTCAGTTAGTATCTCAATAAAGTTTGGTCAGTTTTCAGTGAATCAGGAATAATCATTGTCAAAGATCATATTTTTTTCTTGATTTGTAAAGAATTGAATTTAATCTTATTTCAAAATTTATAAGTTTCTCATATCTTAAACCCATTGACATGTCTATTTCTTTTTTTTTTTTTTGGGGGGGGGTGTTGGGGTGTTGGATGAGGTGTTCATTAGAAAGTACTGTTCATTTAAACAGACACCGTGTAGTTTTTGATGTCAGTGAAACACTTTTTTAGTCCTTTTAGCTTTGATGTCTATCTTTACAGTTATTTTTCCATGCTTACATTCTTTTTTTGTCTTTTCAGTTTTGATGTGGAGAATGGTACGGGTGGTCGTGGGGGACTGGAGGGGACGAGTCCGTCCAGCAGACTGCTGTTACAGAACGCCCCCCAGAGGAGGGACTCCTTCCTGTACCGTCCCGACAGTGACTACGACCTCTCACCAAAGTCAATGTCCAGACACTCGTCAGTCCAGAGCGACGTGTGAGTAAATTTCTTAGTTTTCTTGATCAGGATAGCAATAGGATATAGGAGTTTTCTTTATCAGGATAGCAATAGGATATAGGATGTGTGAGTAGCTTTCTTAGTTTTCTTTATCAGGATAGCAATAGGATAGAGGATATGTGAGAAGCTTTCTTAGTTTTCTTGATCAGGATAGCCATAGGATAGAGGATAGACACTCTGATGTTAAGCTAAGTTTGTTGATAGATAATGTATAGAGTTTAATTAGCTGGTAGAGGATAAATAGATTTACTGTTATCAAAAAACAGTATTATTTTCTCAGTGTGCAAATATATTTTGCAATGAAAACAGGAGTGTTTATAAATCTTCCCTTCAAGATGTTCTAGAAAAAATTCATGTGTAATATCTTTTATACAAAAGTTTTAAAATGATAGTATTCTTTGAATTTATTCACTATCATAATGATTAACCAAAGGGAGACAACTGCTGTCTAGAGTTATATTTTAAAGATGTTGAATTACGATTTTGTTTAGTTTATACGTATGTCTGTATTTTTTTTTCTTCCATTTCCAGGACTAAATAATTGATATTCTCTGGATTTTTTGTATAGTTGAATTAATGCTATACATCCTTAAGAATTGATTTTCTGGCCATTATGGATCCAGATTTGTATAATTCAGTGAGTTTTATTAATGCCGGATCACGCCCAATCAATAGAATTCACGTATAATGAACTTCTGGTGAATTTTTTAAAGTTCTTTTTGCATTGGATGAAAATAAAAACAAGAATAACTGGGAAATCTTACATGGCTGATTTCACTTTATTTTCCATTCCATTGCTTGCTGATATCATTAAAGCAAACCTTCGCGTTTTATGGATTCTCGATGAATTATTCAGTTATTGCTAGCATTTACTTTCCAGCCAAGCTTTCTTTAATTTTATTCTTTTACTGCACATTTATCAGGTTTCAGCACCTGTTGAATTTTTAATGTCTTCTGATGTTATGATGCGCTCTCCTAAAGTTTAGATTTCAGCCTGAAAATAAACTACGATATTATCAACAAAGACAGACTTTTACCAGCTGTTTACCGTAATCAACCTACAAATCAACCTAAAAATCAGCCTAAAGAGAATATGGCACTGAATTAAGTCTGTGTAAATGTAAAATATAAAATTGCCTTTTCAAAGATAAAGACATTCAAGTTATAGTTCTTTGTTAAGAAATAACATGGATTTTCCAAAAAGTTTATTTAATTTAAATGATTACTTTATTTGATATTACATATTTACTTTCCATACATTTTAATGTGCACATAATCAAAGATTTTGGACCATTTTTCCCCCTATGAAGTGTGTTGGATAGCAAAAGCATAAAACATCAAATCTTGGATGAGGAGTTCAAAAGATTGACGATATATGATTTTTATTTTGATGACACAAACTTTAATGCCACACAAGTGCATTTATTATTTTACAGTTATGAGTAAAAAGCAGATACCCGGCATTTTTATCAATAAGCTATTTTATTAATCTTACTATTAAATAAATTAATAAATGTTGATAGAAGCATTGAGAATTGAGAATGTCCACTGTGTCATAACACGGACGGATACAAAGACAATTTTTGATAACATGCTAAGTTGCTAACATTCATCATTCATTTTGTTAACACAGCTATCAATGTTTAAAAAAACAGAGATAGTCAAAACTTTTCAGTACACTGTAATAGTGTAAGAGAGATAACTCTGATTATAAACCTGAGCATTTTTAGCGATGTTACACATGTAAGGGGTAGCAATAATATTTTATTTTCACATTTATAGGAAAATCTTAATGTTGTACGTAATGAAACAATTTGTTCTTTTTTTTCTGAGAAAATTCAGTAAATGTTTTAAATCTGTAAAAGTTGCCTTTTAGAATAATTCAGGTGATATTGGTCTGTACGTTTAATAAAGGCTGAAAGCGAAGAAAATCATTAAGGGTCAAAGGAATCCATTCATTAATAGCAAACAAAGACCACAAGGTGGATTTTGTTCATTATAGCTGTTTAGATAAGAATTTTCAGTCTCTGTCATATAAGTAGGTTGCTTTTATGTTCTCAGTAAATCACTTAGAAATAAAAGACTATCCTTCCATAAAACAAATAAATCAAGTATTGATAAAAAAAAATGTCAGGCAAAGTGAAGCTTTGTTCCCAAGATATCAGAAGGTTTGCTGAAGGTGGTCTTGTGATGATTCTGAAATATTAATAGAAGAACGGATTGGCTTAATTACACAACAATATTCCTAGAACTTGTAGAAAAAACGGCGTCAACAATTTTCCTGTGATTTTTAACACCATCAAAAAACACATTGATGTTTATAATCACAGGAAAAGATTGCAGCAGGAAAATCGTAGCCAGCCTCTGGCTTTCTGGCGGTTCCGATAGAAGGATAGCATATTCTTTTATCAGCGTTAATAAAGGCCTCAGGGTTCGTGTTTTAACCGTGCAATTCTGATCATGATTGTATAAAATGAAATCTCATCACACAATACAAATAAAATAGATATGCAGCTTAAAATGGGGGCTTTGGATTAAATTTATTTTGTGTATAAATGCAGTGAGATAAATATTGTCATACTACGTAGAAGGAACAAGATGTTTATCCATTAACCCTGTTAAAATAAAACATGTTGTAAAGTTCTTCCCTTGAAACTGACATTAAACACAAAATTAACACAGATTTATTTATAGACAAATGGAGAATATCTTGGTGTTTTTGTTATGTTTATGTTAGAACACTCAGAACATGTGCTACTTAGACAATGTAAAACCAGTGTTTACTTTATCCCAGCTTGTATTTTTCCATTGATCACAAAATCTTACGAAAAACCATCATTATTCTCAGTGTGGCATGGAAAAATATTCCACTGACATCTGTTCACAAAATTATTAAATTATTTAAGACTATATCACTAAATTAAACAAATGTCTGTGTTTTTAGCTCACATAAGCCAAAGGCCATGTTAGTTTTATTCATATTGAAGAAAGTTCATGTTGTGTCAGAATTCATGTTCAGCTATGCCATGACTCCTTGAGGCTAGGTTGGGGCCACAATACCGGAAATCTGGAAATTTTTGATGTAGATAAATTTTTAGCAAATTTGCGAGTTCTTTGCATTTGCATAAATATTTTTCTTAAAAATAAATTACCAATAAGAAAACGTAAACAAAACAGTGGTAATTCGCAAAATTTTAAAAGTTAATATAAATTAATAATATAAATTAATCAACACCATTTTGACTTGAATTCGCAAAAATAAAATTGACGTAAAAATTTCCAGATTTACAGTACTAGATTTAATAAGTTAAAAATAATGAATGAAAAGGGAAAAGAAAGAGTTAAAAATAATGAATGAAAAGGGAAAAGAAAGCATTAAAAATAATGAATGAAAAGGGAAAAGAAAGCGTTAAAAGTAATGAATGAAAAGGGAAAAGAAAGAGTTGTGTAGAAAAGCAGAACCAATTTTATTCAGGTGAGCTTTATGGCCCACAGGCCTTATGAACCGTGCAAGCCTGAGATCTCAAGAACTTCATATTGTTTTAGTTGGCCTTGCTGTAATTTCATTTTATCAAGGATAATTTTTCAGATCAAAACATTTTTATCTTTTTAGGAAAAAAAAAAAGTGCAATTATACACCTAGCGGTTTATATTGTTTAACATCCCTCTCGAGAATTTGTACTCATATGGAGATGCCACCACTTGCCAGTAGAGAGCTGCAAATTTTGTCCTATACTTGGCACTCAGGGCCATTGAGCAGTGAGGGATCCTCCTGCTGCCACACGGAACCTCAGTTTATATGGTCTCATCTGAAGGACCGGTCTCCACGTCCCACAGTGGGATTCGAAACTGCGACTTAAGTATCAACTCCTTACTTAATGACTCTAGAGCAGACGCTCTAATACACTGCAACTAGCAGGCGACAGAAAGTGATGTACATTTAGGTTCAATAAATAACTGATGCTTGAAGGTTGTAAATGAAAAATTACATTAATTAAATTCATTAAAAGAAAAACATAAAGTAAGATCATGATGAGAGTAAATTAGGGTTTATTTTGTAGAACACAGTAATTAAAGCAGATTGTACCCTAATTAATTTTGATTTTAGTCTTTTTTGTACTAGGTTAAGACAATGTAAAATGTGTGGACTCACATTTGTTTCATAACAATTACTGTAAATCCTTGACCGAAGTTTCCTACTGCTTGTGAGCATCATTCTTCAATTTCTTTGAGAAAATTTGGATAATGTAAAAAAAAAATGTTCGATGTCGGTTATTTGTGTTCAATCGGAATAAAGGTCGTTCTCAGAAAAGAAAAACAAAATATTCTTACCACAGTGGGAACTCATCCCATTGATTTATAATTGAAACCATTTTAATTAGGAGGTGGGGGAATATCAAAAGTAAATGTTTTTATAAGAGATGCTCTCAAGAGATTGTAGGATTATTTACATATATTGATTTGGCTCCCTCAATCCCGGGGATTTACACTCACATTGTAAGGTCGTCTGAGTTCAATCATAAGTCATCCAAGTTCATTTTTCCTTCCCGATATTTAACAAGATTTTTAGTTTGAAGTTGGTTTTTTTAACGTCATCATTCAAAATCACAACTTTGGATTTGACAGTTGGAATATTTGAAATATTATTAGCAAACAATTAAAAGGCATTGGGAGGAGTGTTCAGTTTGTTGATGACAATAAGTTTCAGGGCCGAGATTTTGTAGCATACAAATCAGTCACATAATTATGAGATCGTGAAAAAAGAGAGAATGAATAAATGATGAAAAAAAATAATTCATAAGTGCAAACGTAGAGTTTATACAAAATACTTATCATACACATGAATGACAAGCTTGTGCAAAGAGAAATAGAACAAAATGACGAAGAACACTAATTTGAAGATTTCGTTTGAGATTTGGGTATAAATTTTAATGCCGCAGATCAAAGGACAGAGATATATAAATTTCATGACTCAATGA